TGAAAATGAGGATGGAGGATGACAAATCACTCTATGATGACGGCCAACATTCAGTCCATGTTGAAGGCCCCCTAGCATGGACTAACAAAGGCTTTGGAGGAGCACATGCGCTATCAAATAGTCCTTTAAGTGTACGCTTTTTAACGGTGAGCACGAGGCAGTGACGCCATTTGTAAGTTAGCATGTTCGACAACACGCGCAGCGAGGTAAACACCTTGAAAGTGCCGAATTAAGCTCAAGTATGTAGTACATTTCACCTCGCCTTCCTCATCTCTGAGCGCTGACTTCTAAGAAGGAAGATGCTGAGAAAAGGTTTTGGACACATGTATATGGAAATCGGGGTACAGATAAAATGCAGGAGCCAGTTCTCGAACGGATGATCTCACTACGCACGCACAATGACTTAGACACATTAGTATATCAATATTGAGAGGATTGTAATCTTTAATAGGGAAAAGGGAAAAAAATTGTGTCCATCAATTAAGCCAATAATGGCTGGTTGACAAATAGGTGCGTTATCTGTTACCATAAATAACGTCGTAGTGCAATACAATAATATTATTTAAAAAGTTGTTAGCACATTCTTTTAAGCTTAAGAATACGAAAATTATTTTACTCAGGATAAATTGTCTTAGTAAGCAACTTATTTTGCGGGAGCTTAAAATTCCCTGTCTAAGCCAATCGCTTTTCGAATACCCTTTTATCATGGATTACTATGAGAATTTTGATGCTGAGCAGATCCCGGTGTACGTTACGGCCGTTTCTTTTATTGGTCTTGGGAAAACAAACCTCGATTTCCTCAAAAATCAGGTTTGATAAGTTACTCATTCTGTTACCCTTTAGCTCCGTCCATTAGTGAAATCTAAAAACATGCGTGAGCTGCTAAATAATTCAAGTGATCTCAAATCAATGCTCCTGGGCTTGCAAATTTTTAAGCATTGTGAAGTTTCGATCGATACAGAGAAACAGTCTTCTTGTTCGGATGCCTACAAGGTACCGCTTGCCCCATTGGAGATAGGTGCATTTAGGTAAATATCTTTGTTGAAGAAAAGAAGCCCCAAAACTTAAAAGCCCAGTGGACAGTTAACACTGATGGGTCGATGCGAGTGGGTGGATACTACGCGTTGAACAACATTTTTCGGAAGGGGGAACGCCTCGAGGTTGAAGGAAATATAGGTAGGGACTCATCAAAAATGAGGTGGGTGTATTAGGAAGGAAATAGATTTTCTTACTTTTGTAGATTCGCTACTTTTACTAAACCATTTGAGAGGAACCCCAACATTAAGTTTAGCCTTGGAGGTTCTGACTGCAGCTACGATCACTGGTGGTCGAAGATTTTGCGCAACGAAAGCTCTATTTTTGCTGAAATTGGTGCCCTTTCTCGGTGGGGGATCCAGAAGCTTCATTGGAGTAGTGTTTGGAGAGAGATTGAGGCTTCTAGTGAGTTCATTTTCTAGTGATCTTTGAAATCACATAGTGGTTTATGATTTCGATGAGCCCTTATGGCTGCAATTAGATAATCTATCGTTGTTTGTGCTTGTCATTTTGAGAATGTGGTTGTTGCTGGTTATCGGATGCCTTGTCTTAAAAACCCTGTTATAAGTAGTCTCTCTTGGTGGAAATTACAGGTCTATCAACGCCGTTAAACTTAAGGTTAGAAAGCGGCGCTAATTTAAAAACCAATCTCCGCCACAGCTTGGAAGTGGACTCGCGAGATGATCGCATACTTCCCCAGAGTGGTCTTTTGCTCCGTTTGAGTGAAGAGTTGTCTTTTTTGTATCCCCCACCACCACGGACCGCCGTGGGCTTTGAGACTGCACCCCCGTAAGCACTCAGTCCTTTTGATGCTAAGGCATCATGATTCTGTTATGTTCGTTTCATGTACGAAAGCGTTTCGTGTTCTATCAGTTTACTACATTGTACACTTAAG